CCAAATGGAGTTTGATAAGCCTTTTTAAAGTATTCCACTGTGAAATACTGAAGGCAGTACACAGTGGGATCCAAATGCATATGGTTAATAGCCACAATGACATGACCACAAGGAATGCCATTGAGTTGTCATTTTCTATAACTGCACCTCCAATGCCTTAAATCGACAGCATACTTCTTCTCAAGATAGTGGATCTCAAACTACGTGTCCATGGCGGATATAACTGTGTGAAAAATCTAGCCTTCATCTTTCGCAAGTGGAGTAATTCTTGAGTTTCAGTACTGACATCCCGCTCCAAGTATTACCTAACTCCCTCTTCTCTTCAAATCTGGTCATCAACTGTACCCTTATTTCTTCACATATTATAATGATCGGCTTCTCTTGAGAAGATAAATCCAAGCATTGAATGACTCCGCCATGTTAGAGCCAAGATGGTTGTATCTTGTCCCTAGAAAATAGGCATCTGCCCAAAATTTAGGAGGGATATTCTTAATCCACTCATATGCTTTTGGGTCGGCACACTGTATAGCAAACATTATTTTTTCAATCCCACCAATGGTCGCTTTACGGGCAGCCTTCTAAAATAGCATCAACAATACTTCAATATTTGTTGACTTCTTAAAAAAACCCTTGAAGTTCTCTCCCATATGTCGCATACAGAATGATGGAAAACATATGGGAAAATATTTCTTTATTACTTATGACAGGCTTTTCTGTCGATCTGATATAAATGTTAAGGTAAGCAGATTAAGATACTCATTCAATAGCTCACTCAATAATACTTAAGAATCAATATTAACTCTGGTAATTCCCCTTCTCAACCACTGCAAATGCTAATAGGAAGAGCCCATTATTTTATTTAGGGTGATGGAGCACAATAATATGCATTGATATTTTCCTTTTAAGAATGTCCCATCAATACCAATTAGTGGCCTGCATCCATTAACAAAACCCATGATCCATATACAATGGGAGGTCATGGTATTGTTGTTCACGTGATCCATCTATCATCTCTCTTACAACCTCTTTTCCTCGTCAAGTTTACATTTAGGAAAGCTTGATACCGTGATCACGTTGCACATCCTTTACGATGTCTTTCACTCTAATTTTTGGTTGGTCAATAAGGCGACCTTTAATCTTTTTTGCCACCCAATCACTACGAGCTAGTGGTTGATGGACCCTCCCCATTGGACTATTACGTGTATGCTTCTTAACCATATACTTCACTTTAAAGTATGCAGTACTGCTAACTTGTAAGCACCGCACTTGCCATGTACATCCCTCTGCTTTACAACTTGCCCACACTCATCCCAATTCACTTTGGTCAAACTTCAGAACAAAATTATTGTGGATTACAAAATCAACTAGATGATGATGTCATTCATTGACATTTTCAAAAATTTGCCCAATATTCAGTTGAACCTTGTTACCAAATCCTCTACATGGGCTCTCATTGGTTCAATATCCTCCATATCACGCTCTAGTACAAGCTCAGGGTCGGGCGCCACTTGAATGTTTTGATCTTGATTAGGTAAAACGTTACGCTGACTGTTGACAAAAGATAGAGTGTAAGATGAAGCAACAATTTCTGCATATAAAAGATTGAAATAAAGCAATTTACAAATGAAAAAATAAATTGTAGATATACCTATTCCTTGAAGATGGGCCTTCAACAACAGATTCCTGTTCTGGCTCCATTGTAGCCGCAATATATACAACAATTCTCAAAGATTCTACTCCCAACATAAAAGATACATCTATATCATCACTTCCATCAATCAATTCAAGCCCACTAGATAGACTTTTATTGTGGTACATAATAACTAATTTGTTTGGATCACACATGGTTAAATTACCAAAATGATTTTTTAGTTCCTGCAAGGAACTATTTCCATTATACTTCGTGACCTTCAATTTTCCCCCTTTATAAATAACACGTCTGTCATATGTATTCGTTTCAAATGACCTCCCATATCGAAATACCAGTTGCACTCCCTCGGTAACCATTATCAATGCTATTGTATTACATGAATAGCAAAATTTGTGTTACAAAAAATCAATACAATAAGGAATACAAAAAATATGGATACTTCTAAGTACTTTAGGGTTCATAAATTTTGAGTAGAACATAATAGATTGAAATAATGTACTAATACAAAAAGACAAATAATCAATAAACAACAAAAATAACAAATACTCAAACAAACACCAAATAAACAACAAATATTTACATAAACCAATAAGTTAAACAATATTTAACCAAAACAATAAATACAATGTGTCAACATAATACAAAAAATAAATATTTATATAAACAACAAATAACTATACAAAGAAATAACTTCAACAATATTTTAACAAATATTATTTTATTAATCAACAATACATAAAAATTACAAATATAAAAATATAATATTCTATTAAGGGTGAGGTTTGTATCGAGCATAGGCTCTAAACAATCAAATTAGAGCCTACCTTTAAGTAGTGTTGAGGTATGTGGTTTCAACACTGGAAAGCTTTGTGATAGCCTTAAAATATATTTTAATCTTTATCTATAAAGTTTAAAGCTTAAAAAAATGGTGTAGAACGACATAACTATGAAAACTTGAAAATCTTAAAAATTGATCGTAAAAAAATGCATTACAAAATACATTATTTCCAAGACTTGAAATTAATTTTTTTCTCATGTCCATGCATCTTGATGTTGAGATGATCAATTTGAGGATTTTTGGGCATCAAAACAATCTCGTCCAGTGAAATTTTTGAGGTAGGCTCGAATGTGATTGTTTAGAGCCTCCGCTCTATATAAATTTTTTCTTTCTATTAATTGTGACAAAATTAACAAAAAATAATCAATAACATAAGGCAAGAGTAAGAGCGGTACCAATCACGACTGTGAGCCAATCTCGTGGGATCTGTATTGCAGGAAAATAAAAAAGGAATGATCCATGTATGTTACTGTATTTGGCTTGTTTTCCTCGAACTTTATATATATAAAAAAAATTCTTACGCTAAAATGTGGGAAGTATTGGCACCAATATTTTTGGTTAATAAAAAACCGAAATCCACAAAATTTCGGCTGTTGAAATACCGAAATCAAATTTTTGGTTTTTGAACAACCGAAAAACTTAATTTCAGTTGTCGAACAACTGAAACCATAGCGGGAGAGCAACTCCCATTTTCGGGTGTTGAAAAACCAAAAATCTACGGTTTCGATTGTTCAACAACTGAAATTAGATTTTCGGTTTTTCAACACTCGAAAACTCTAATTTCAGTTGTTGAACAACCGAAACCAAAACGGGAATTTAAACGAGCTAATCCCTTTTTCAGTTGTTGAACAACCGAATTTTTTTTGAATTCGGTTGTTCAACACCCGAAAATGGGTAAAGTCATATTTTTTAAAAAATTCCGTTTTGAGATGAAAAAAACGGATACGGATGTAATAACAGAAGCTATTTGGTGTAACCGTAATAATGTAAACTAAAACGGGTATATGTGTAATTTTTCCTAATATATTTATTATGTTATATAATATCATAATATATATTATGTATAATATAATATATAAATATTATATAATATATATAATAAATAATANATATATATATACTAATAAACATACAAGGAACAA